AGAGAGAGCTGCAGAGCCTTATTTCAGAAGCTGCAGGCCATGGGCACCTCCAGCCTGGAGGGGCAAGGCCTGGGGGAGCAGCCGGGTGGGCTTCAGGAGGAGGAGGGTCTGCTGCAAGAGCTGCTAATGCTATACCAGGTGGATTGATGGGACGATTTACCCTTAGAGGCCCCCAGTGGTCATCAGAGGCATTTTCTGATGGTCCTGGGGGCTCTGTGGGACTCTAATCAGAAACCCACACCTGATTCCCTTTTGGATTTAGAATTTTCACAACCAAAGTAGGAACTGAATTTTCCCTTTTCCCCAGCCCCTTGGGGGCTTCATATTCTGAACTTTGTAGATCTACAGGATGGTCAAGGGCCAAGCTGAAAGATTTTTTGCTTCCCACCCTTAGAGTCTGCCAGTGTGCTAGCCCATGGCCCTGAGATATGGGTGAGCACCCAACCAAACACTGGTACCACCCATTGCAGCCTCCACTCAAAACAAGGAAAAAACAAAATTGTTAATCCTCCATGGTTAACAAATACTGGTCTCCATAGTTCTTTTTTTAAAATTGATTTTATTGGAGTACAGTTGCCCTACAATGTTGTTAGTTTCTTCTGTATAGCAAAATGAATAATTTATATGTATATACATATATATACACACACATACATATATATATTCTCTTTAGATTTCCTTCCCATTTAGGGGTGACCACAGAGAATTGACTAGAGTTCCCTGTGGTATACAGTAGGTTCTCATTAGTTATCTATTTTATACATAGTAGTGTACATATGGTCAATCCCAATCTCCCAGTTCATCTTCCATAGCCCTTAAACAAGAGTATTCATCATCAGAAACCAATGAATGGACATTTAGTCAATAAATGATCAAATGCTACCTCATTTGAGGTGGAATATTTTTCTCCAGGGGCTGAGTTCCCATGCAGGTTGGGCCTGAGAAAGCCCCAAGCCTTCAGTTCAGGCCTGGCCAGCCTCCCAGGTATCTTCAGATGGCAAGATGTGCAGGTGGGATGGTTTCCTTCAACTCTCAGATTAACCAAAGGGAAGACCTTTCCACCAGGCAGGCAGGCAGGGCAGAGCCTGAAGCAGAAGGGCAGAGATTTTGCCAACTTGGACCTGGGCCCTTGTTTCTCTGTCTTCCCCTGACCCAGTGTTCTAGAATGCTAGAGTTCTAGAAAGGGGAGAGGGAGCCAGATTCTAGAATGGTTTTCTCCTCAAGATCACATCTGGAACATGGAAGGGCATCTTGTACGTTAACTGGGAATCAACTGCCTTGCCTATGGCAGCTTCCTCTGCAGACTGTTGCATCTTTTCCTGGCTGCTTAATCCTTTCCTCATATAGATGCCTCCTCCCAGCAGTGATTTCTAGAAGCCCCATAGGCCTTTAGTGCCTCGGGTTTGCCCTGCCCCCTCTGACCCTTCCCTTGCGCAGGCATGAGCCTGGCCCACACCACTGTGCTCCTGTGGGCATGGGGGAGCCTCCAGGCCTTTGAAATAGTAGAGAAAGAGAACATCTTTCAGAGGACCCCCTGCCCGGCTTTCCTGATGTTTGACAACGCGGCCTACCTGGCCGACATGAGCTTCGAGCTCCCCTGCCCCTGCAAGCCGGAGGAGGTGTCCGCTGTCGTCTGGTACTATCAGAAGCACCTGGGCAGCAGCCACACCAAAGTGCTGACGGACTTCGATGGGCGGGTGCTGACGGAGGCAGCCCAGGTGCGCGTGGGCAGCGACATACTGGTCCGCTTCAGCATCCGCATGTTCAGCCTCTTGGTCTTCCGGGCGCAGCCGGAAGACTCCGGCTTGTATTTCTGCGGCACCCGCAAGGGGGACTACTTTTACGCCTACGACGTGGACATCCAGAGCAGTGAGGGGATGGTGGCTACCTTCAAGGACCAGGGCCAGGAGCCCTTGGAAGACGAGTACCACGGGAGCCTCCGCGTCTTCACCACCTTCTGGGAGTGGACACCGTGCGACCGCTGCGGGGTGCGCGGGGAGCAGTGGCGTATCGGTCTGTGCTACCTGCAGAGCCCGGACCTCTCTCCCCGCTACCGCAAGATACTGCCCAACGTGGTGTCTTGTGGTTCGAGGGCTGTGCCCAGGCAGCTCCGGGCCAAGGCCAGCGACCACAACCCCGAGCTGCTGGTTCGGAGCTGCCTGATGCCCTGCAAGAAGAAGAAGAAGGTCCAGGAGGGCGTGATGGCAATCTTCAACTATGTGTCCAAAGTGGGCAGCCGGCCCTGGTTGCCCCAGGTGCCCATTCAGTTCCACCAGCAGAGGCTGGGCCACGGACTCATCATCTCCTGCCCCGGGGCCCGGCCAGAGCACGCCGTGGCCTGGGACAAGGACCACCAGTACCTCTACCGCACGCAGTACCTGAAGGGCGTCAACGGGTCCATGAGGGTGTTCATTGACCACGGCAACCATCTCCACATCCGCTTCACCCAGCTGGAAGACCGGGGCATCTACTATTGCTGGCGGCAGGGCGAGCGCATTGCTGGGTTCCGACTGGGCGTGACATCTCCAGGTCGCTACCCGGTCTCCTTCTCCGACCCTGAGACTCGGGCCGCCCTGGGGCTCTTTCTGATAGGCTACATGCTCATCACAGTCATCTTTATCAGCATTCACCTTTGTCGTTGCTGCTGTTACTTATTCCGCTTTTGTCCCAACTTCTCCCCCAGGCTCTCTCTTCCCCAGCTCTGAAGACCAGCTGTGCTCAAATGTGTTTGTAAAATGGTACCAGATGCCTCTGGTTGGGGGCGGGGCATGTGAACCTGCCCCCCATTTTCGTGAGCAAGTCTGGAAGCTCATCTGGGAAGCAGGGAAGCCTGAGCAGGTGGGAGATGGGGAACTGAGTCCAGGATGGAAGTAGTCTGAGTGCACGTGTCTTCTGATTTGACGCTCAGAGAAGGAAGAAGTGAACCTAATACTTATCACCTATCTGGCGCTGACCGTGTTTGATGTGCTTTATTTTCTTGCCTTCGTGGATTGCCAGGTGGGTGCTGTTTGAACTGAAGGTAGCAGAGAGAGGAAGAAAAGAGTTGGGGTACCTAGTATATATCCTCTTTGCCTTCTTTCCCAGCCTCATCCCGGGACTGGCAGGTAGAAATGGTGAGTTTGGGGATTAAAGGTAGAGACCAGGACAGGGGAAATGGGTGAGGAAAGTGGAGACTGAATTCAGGGCTTTCCTGAGAGATGGCACCCAGCCTGGGGGCTGGGGGTGAGAAGAGGAGCCGGAAGCAAAGGCAGTGGGTGTGTGGGGCACCAGGGCTGGAAAGCAGAGCAGGGTTGGAGGTGGGATTTGTCATGTGGCCACTTCTGGGGATGCTGGGGGCCCCAAGATGATCAGTGATAAGAAGCAAGTTGTGTCTTGCCTGAGGCTACGTCCTGTCCTCTGCCCCAGCCTCAGCCTCTGCTGAACAGATCAGAGTCCACTCTGGGGAAGGCCACAGCAGTTGTCTTTATTTGTTGCATTTATGTCAGTGGCTAAAGCCCGCAGCAATGCCCCGAAGGTTAGCAGCAGTGGGTGGCAGGAGGGAGTGGGGTAAGGGTATGCAGTCAAGTCCCTCTGACTTGGAGGGAGATGGGGACCCTGGAGTGGGCTTCAGAGCCCCACTTGTGGGCACTGATCATCTCATGCCCACCAGTCTCCCTGCGAACAGCAGAACAGGTGCTCAGGGTGAAAGTATCTGCCCCAAGCTTTCCTGCCTCCAGGCTGCGGGAACACAAACCAGTGTCTTCACTCTGCATGGGCCTCGGGTTCCAAATCATAAAATAAAGTGCTACCTAAAACATGGGGAGGGGGGTATGTTTTGTATTTGACTAAGAGGGGACTACAGGGGCCTTGGTTTAGGGAGGAGCAGTGATCACTGTGGGGAGAGGAGGTTGGGTGGCAACAGAGGCTTTGCTTAGCAGTGTTTCCTGGGGTCAGGTGGCACTTGCAGGGGCCCACAGGCCTGGGTGGACAGGGTTTACGCAGCAAGGGAAGGGCCTTGAGAGCTGGGACATAGCGGGCCCCGCTCCCATGAACAGCAGCCTCTTCCTTTCCTGTGTCAGCATCTTCAAGAGGATGAATCACTTTCTTGATTCCCACGACCCAAAGGCCAAGTGTAACTACTCACCCACGACCCCCACTCTGATGTCTAGCATCATCCCAAGCTCTGCCCCCACCATCTCTACCTGCCCCCTCCAGCCTGTACTGGAGTCCTCTTGGGCTTGACCTCTCTGTACCCACAGCAATGGACAAGGCCCCGTTCTGCTCCCTCCCAGCACCCCTTTCCTCTGCACTTACACTATACTTCCCCCAAGTGCAGAGAATCAAGCTCCCACGGGCCCACGGCATGCCCACGTGGCAGCTCAGTGGGGCTGAGACACTTGATGCATCGCTCAGGAGGCCCCTCTGTGATCTGAGCAGGCCAGGAATTCTGTCTGCTGACTCTCGCAGTTGGCAGGATAGCCCCACCCACCCTCAGACTGGTCAGAGTCAGTCTAGAAGAATAAGCCTCTGGCCAAGGCCACCTTGCCCTGGGGACTTCCTCTGCTTGTCTCAGACTCTCAGTTTTCCTCCAGCAGCCCAAGGAAACTCAAAGGCCCCATTCCCAGATACCCCCAGACACCTCCAGCTCTGGCAACAGTTGCCATGACAACAAAGGTTCAGGATACAGAGGGTAGGGTGATTTATGAGGTCTCCCTGCCCTCCCTGCCTTTTCTCCTCCCTCCCAATTCTAACTCAAGCTGCTGGCTGTGCCCCTCCAGGCCGCCCTTTGGGGTGAGTGCCCTGTTAGTGTTGCTGGGTGTGGGGTGGGTGCTGTCTGACAGGCTTAATGCTGATGGAGCCTAGGGTGGCAAGCTGGCATAGAGACGGAGCAGGAAGAGGAGCAACTGGTTTGGGTGGGAAGTCAATTCTGGGGAAATTAACTAGCGGAGAAGGGACAGCTACCCCGACTCCTGCTGCAGACCCCTCAAACGGTGGGGCAGTGACCACCAGATGGGTCCTGTTCACATCACGTCCTTGTGCTCCTGCTTGGACTCCTTAATGACCTGTAGGGGACAGAGAACGTGCCACAATTAGGAGCTCACACAGACTCCAGGTCCACCACGGCTAGGCAATGTGACCCGGGACAAGTTCCCAGCCTTCCACCTTTTCTATGATGGTAACCAGAAGGCCGCCATGCAGCAGTCAGAGGAGGAAACGAGCTAATTCTGTCAAACATCTAGCAAACATCTGCCTGGCACATGGTGAGCTGCTGTTGTAAGATTAGCTAGTTCTGTTGCTGATACAGTGGGGAGGGGATAAGCCCATCTCCTCTTCCCATTCTTCTGCTAGGTCCCTTTCACCAAGCTGAAAGTTGAAAGTTGGGAGTGAAAGTTACTAAAGTTAATATTCTTTCTCTCTGCTCCAGGCCTGCTGTGAGGGCACCTGAGTCTGAGGGTGAGAAAGGGAGGAAGAAAGCCAGAGTCAGGACCCCGTCCAGTGGCCTAAGCATCTAGGCTCCCCTTAGTGTAGGGACTGGGGAATGGAATTATATCCGGGCTCCTTCCCCTCTTCCAGAGCCTCCCAGAGGAACTCTTGGGAGTTATCAAGAACCTTCTATATGCCGGTGCAGGCTTTCTCCCAGAGCCTGCTGGGGCCAGAATCTTGGACATGCCATCCTCACCTCTCCATCCCGCATCTCCACGGTCTTCACCACAATGTTCCTCTTGAGGTGGCCTTCTGACACAGACTTCGTGTCCAGGCTGGTTTCTGCAGATATGAGGAGAGGAGGCATCCGTAGGCTCTCAGGGCCCTAGACATCTTCTCCCACCCTCAGTTTCCCCCTGAGACTCCTAATCGCAAGTACAAAAGCCTATCCAACCAGAGAAGTCCTAGGCTCTCCCAGAGGGGCTGGCGATCTCCTAAGTCTCCACGGTGCCAAGCAAGCCCTCACCGCCCTGCTTGCTGTCCTGGCCTAGCTGCATTTCGGCCCCTCTGCAGCCCCTCACCTGGCCCCTGGCTCCCTGACAACCCAGCATCATGCCAAGGGAAGAGCACGTGGTTATTGAAGTCAGGCAGGTCAAAGTTCGAGTCCCAGCTCAGCCACGTGACTGTGGGCAAGTTAATTTACCTCTTCCAACCTCACTGTTCTCATCCACAAAATGGGGATGCTGCTGCCTACTTCTCTAGGTGGAAGTAATGAGTCAGTTAACTGAAATAATGTGTGTAAAACAATGGGCACATATTCGTGTTCCATACACATGGGTCCCTCTCCCGTCCCTCTTCCCTTTTCCTGCTTCTCTCTGCCACCTCTCTAGGACCCTCTTCTGTCTGGCATGTGGCAGTATTGCCTCTACCTGGTCTGCTGGTTAACTCTTCTGATACTGAACTAAGCCCTAGGACATGCATAGCTAGTGTTCCTAAATTTCTAGTCCAGAAGAATTATTTTTTCCCTCAGCGGAGAATTATTTGAGGGCCACATACAAGTAAGAAGTAATTTATTCCCCCCTGCAGAGAGAAAAATATAACATGTCAAACTCACTAATGTTTAATATTAAGAGCAGGGGACATAAAACTTTATTCACTCCAAGAGCAGCAGTCTAGAGGGAAATAATCCTCTGGGCTGAATCAGCCCTGAGCTGAACAACCAAGCCTCAGGGACAGAGGAATCAGGCCAAGAGCCTGGCCGCCAGGCACCGCAAGACTCTAGGGGCCCTCCTGGTGATGGGGAAGAGGTGAGGCAGAAGCTGGTGTTTGCTTAGAGGCCCAGAGCATCTCAACTGAGTACCCGAGGACTTAGCACCTTGAATACCAGCCAACTCTACTACTTTAATGTACATTTACCCTGTGCCAGGCCCTGGACCGGGCACTGAGATTGCTGGGGAAATGACACAGACTTGGCCTTTAGGGAAACCTGGGAGGAGGGAGCCCAAGAAGATGGGGAAAGTGGGCTTGGTGAGTTTGCTCCCTATCAAGCTGAGAAAAGCACCATGTCTAAAAGGCAGGCAGCTAACCGAGAGCCGGCGGGGCTCCATCTACAACCTGGTGAGCCTGAATTGGTATAACTTGTATTGTGAGGCTTTTGAGATGTCTTGTGACCTTGTGACTTTCCCCTTCTTTGGTGCTTTTGCCCCCTGTAGTGACAAGCAATTAAAAAAACACACAAACATCAAACACTCAGCTGGACAGGGACCTGCAGACAGGAGAGAGGTTAAGACCCTCACTCAGTTCTGCAGTGGAATGGGGAGTGGGCATGGGAGGAGGGACAAAGGGCAGAGCAGGACAGGAGTGGCTGCAAGCCCCACCTGGAATGCTCTGGGATGGTATGTTCTGGCTGGAAGTCCTGCCGTGAATAATGAAGGTCCCCACAGACAGCAATGGGCTCCTCTGCCCTGGTCCTTGGCCTCAGACCAGAAGAGCAACCCACAGGCCTGGGGGAGGGGGCGGGAATCCAACACTCTGCCCACAAAACCCTGTTCTACTGACCTCGGATCTGCAGGTTGGAGAAGGTCTGCACAGGAATGGTGATGCTGAAAGACAGCAGAAGGAGAGGGGTGACCAGCCTGCCGGAGGACATTCCCAGGCCAGATCCTGGTCCAGGGTCATCATGATAGCTTTGAGGCCCTTTTCCTTGCCAGGAAAGGCAGACCCCCATATCTTAGCTTCTCCAGCAGCCAACACACTCCCTGGGGCTATAAGAGCCCTGGGTGTTATAAGCAAGGGGAGCATCTCCACTCAAAAGAGAGTGAGTGCTCCGAGGATGACAGAGGGGAGGGGAGACTGGTGAAGAGAGTTGCCAGGAGGCAGAGGAGATTGGTCAGCAGAAAAGAAGTCCAGTCTTTGTTGGGAGGGTGGGGAGTGAGCCTCTTAGTTTGGAAGATAACCGAAGTCCTTACCCTAGGACCTGATCAGCATGGGCTGAATTGAATCCATCCATTCATTCATCAGGCATTTATGAATACCAACTGTGTGTTACGCGAGCACTGTTCTGGGCACTGGGATAGGAGGGGGCTGGTCACGAGGCTGAATAAGACGGTCCCTGATGGGGCTTCCCAGGTGGCGCGGTGGTAAAGAACACACTTGCTAAAGCAGGAGACAGAGACGCGGGTTCTACCCCTTGGGTGGGAAGACCCGCTGAAGAAGGAAATGGCAACCCACTCCAGTATTCTTGCCTGGGAAATCCCATGGACATGGGAGCCTGACAGACTACCTTCTATGGGAGTCGCAAAGAGTTGGACATGTCCGAGCACACATGCACGCGTGAAGGGAGCAAGGCGACTCTGGGGCGGGGCAGTAGGGCAGGCGGCCGGTCTGGGCTCACCGGTTCTCCTCGCCCTCCAGCAGCTTCCTGTAGGTGGCGATCTCGATGTCCAGGGCCAGTTTGACGTTGAGCAGGTCCTGGTATTCCTGCAGGTGGCGCGCCATCTCGTCCTTGAGGCTCTGCCCCTCTTCCTCCAGCCGGGCCAGCGCCTCCTGGTAACTCGCCGCCTCCCGCGCGTGGCGCTCCTCCTGCTCGCGCATCTGCCGCTCCAGGGACTCGTTCTGTGGGTGGAGCCGGACCGTTCCCCGAGGCCCCGCCCCAAGTAACTTTTCAGCGCTCCGCCCCAAGCCGGTCCTTCTCCAGCATCTGCTAGGCCTGTAGGTGCCAGGCCCGGCTCGTGGTCCCGGTCACCCTCCCCGCATACGGCCCTGCCGGTGCTCACCGTGCCGCGCAAGGACTCCAGGTCGCAGGTCAAGGCCTGCAGCTGCCGCCGGTAGTCGTTGGCCTCGTGCTTGGCCTGGCGGAGCAGCTCCGCGTTGCGGGCGGCGGCGTCGTTCAGGTCCGCAAACTAGATGAGGAGAGGGCTTTATGCTGAGGAGCGATCTGGGGCCGCATATCGCGGGAGCTTGGTGGGCCCGGGGAGTTGGAACGAGGCTGGAGGATCAGGGAGATGGGCCGGACGGTCGGGTTGTTTTCCAGCCCACCCCACGCCATTGTACTGAGGGGGATTATTCACAGTCACTGTGGCCCATGGACACAGACGACACTGCTGCTTCTCTAGCATCTAGCCCAGTGCCTGATGAGGGAACGCATGAATGAGCAGAGGGTGCCACAGAGCCCAGACTCTCCAGCCGCTCCATCCTCGAGACTGAACCCCGTCCTCCTCCGTCACACACAGGGAGCTCGGTGAGCAGAGACCAGGTTCTGATAACCCTCTCTCCCTCAGCCTGCACTGAAACCCTCATGACTCCATCACGCCTTAACCTGCTCGGAACCATCACTGACTTCTGCCCCTTACACTCCTCAGCTCCATGCCCTGGGCCAGGATCGCCAGGCCCCCACTTTTTTGTGCTTTATGGCCTCTACTCAGGCTGTGTCGTGCACCCTGAATGCCCTTTCTGTCTTCTCTTTATGTTCATAGACTGCCAGTCCTGCTTGGCCCCACTGCCCTCCCGTGAAATCCTTCCTGCCCCCACATTGCATATAAACCCTGCCCTGCTGTGTTCTCCATAGACATTAGACTGAGTGACATCACATCTCCCTGGTCAGACCTGTCTCTGTATGCTGGGCAGAGCCTGGCATGCAGTAGATGCTCAATAACCCAGGATGCAGATGGCAGAAGCATCAAGAATGCAGGCTTGGTACTTCCCTGGCAGTCCAGTGGTTAAAGCTCCACCCTTACAATGCAGGGGGGCATGGGTTAGATCCCTGGTCAAGGAACTAACATCCCACATGCTTCGAGGCATGACCAAAAAAGCCCCCCAGATAAACAGTTAAAAAAAAAAAGCAGGCTCTTAAGTGAGACAGCTAGGGTTAGAAATCCAGCTTTATTGCTTAGGAGCTGTGTGACTTTGGTCAAATTGGTTAACCTCTCTGGACTTTAGTTCTCTCATCTATCAAAGAACAATACCTACTTCATAGTAAGATAATCCTTGCAAAGCACAGAGCCTAAAACACAAGAGTGTTGGCTAGTAGTCAATAGCAACAGATACTAATAAGTACTTATTGGGAGTAATAGTGCCTGTATGACCCTAGGCAAGTTGACTCACTTCTTTGGTGAAGGTCAGTCACTCAGAGAGGATCCTCTCCCAGCTTCCTCCACCCTCCTTCCCTGATTCTTTTGTATGGAGCCAGGAGGGCTGCCTGGAGGAGGCAGGCTGCCCCAAAGTCAGGGTTACCTTGGACCGGTACCACTCCTCTGCTTCATGCATGTTGCTGGACGCCATTGCCTCATACTGTGTGCGGATCTCTCTCAGGGCCGCTGTGAGGTCAGGCTTGGCCACATCCATCTCCACGTGGACCTGCTGCTGGGCCAGCTGCTCCTGGAGCTCCCGCACCTCCTGGCCAGGGTGAGAGAAGGGTTGCCAGGCCTCAGGGACCAGCTGCAACTGGGGCTTCCCCACAGCATCATGCCCTCTTCTGTCTGCCCCTTGGACACGGACTTTGGCTAGGGGAGATGGGATGCTCCTAGTTGGAGGAAATGGCATTGTCCAGGATAAGGGAAGAAGCGGGTTAGTTTGGGGGCCCTGGGTGTCCTCCTCCCAGTCCCGGAAAGTCAGGAGCACTGGAAGCATGTCTGTGTTTTCATGAAAGAATGTCTGAGTCCCTGTGATGTGGGTGTGCCTATGGGTTCCTGGGTTCCCTGAGCCCATGGATTCTGAATCTATTATCTGAAGTCAGAGCTCAGTGGGGTCTCTCTTTTTTTTTTTAATGTATGGCTGTCATTTCAATGGAAACAGATGGCAGAGGGAGTGGAGTCACAGAGACCAAATGTGTGACCTTAGCACATTCTTTAACCTTTCCAGGCTTCAGGGTTCTCCTCTGTGAAAAGGAGATAACACTGGAACAGTTCCTATCTCACAGGGCCAGAGTGAAGAAGAATGAGGCAACAGGGCCCACTTTAAGTGCAGTGTGTGTCTAGGTGCATTTTACCAGGGGCTGGGGGTGCTCTCTTATCTGTCTCTAGCTCTGTCTCCCTCCGTTCTCTCTGCCTCTCTTTCTCTGTCTCTCTCTCATTTTCTTTCTCTGTCAGTCTGTCCCTTTCTCTCTCTGGATATCTGTCTCTGTCTTCCCATCTCTCTCCCTCAGTTCCAGTCTCTGTGTTGGCCTTTTTGCCCCTCCTTCCCCATCTTACCTCCTCATGGATCTTCCTCAAGAACCGGATTTCCTCCTCCAGAGACTCAATCTTCCTCTCCAGATCCAGACGGGCCAGGGTGGCTTCATCTGCTTCCTGGAGCAGGGCGGGGCAAAGGGCTACTCTGACCCCAGACTTGTCCTCTCTGCTCCCTAGTCTAATCTGATCCCTCCTTTTGTGGAGCAGCACATTGCTCTGGAGGGCTGGGCTTAGGGACTGTGTTTGGGTGGGCTGCCATCAACATTTTCCCCCTCCCCGATCCCTCCCTACCACCCTGACCTGTCGATAGGCAGCCAGGTTGTTCTCAGCCTCCAGCCTCTGGTTGGTTTCATCTTGGAGCCTGGGGTAGGGAGACACACTTCTGGGTCTGGGCTCTTCTGACGACTATGGGGACCCCTCCCCTAATCTCCCTGCCGGAGAGATGCTCCCCCACCCCCAGGACCAGTGGAGCGGAAGGAGGAGTGAGGGGCAGAAGGATTCTAGACAGAGCCTTGGCCAGAAGGGTGAGCAGACAAGAGCCTGTGCTTTAAGTCATTACCAAGGTGCCTTATCAGGGTTCTTGCACCTGCTTCTGCTCACACAGGTGCTTCCATCAACCTATACTCACTCCTGCCATACACACACGCACACACACGCACGCACGTCTTCTTGCAGTTGAAGTCACACACGCATACTCTGCCAGCTTGGCAGGGACCATTCCCCTGGCATTTCTTCTGACCTTCGGAAATGGGTTTATTAAGATCTCCACTTTACAGCTGTGAAGTTGAAGCACCTTGATTAGGGTCATAAGCTGGGGTCAGGCAGAGTCACCTGTGTTCTGAAGCCAGGCTTGCCTGCTGTCTCCCCTACTGCCTGTACCCCAGCCCAGTCTTCCTGGTGCACCCCCATCCTCCCTTCCAATTCCTCTTCCAGACAGAGCTAAGAATAAGTGTATTCCCTGTGCAGTCACAAGGCCCCGCAGTGAATAAAACTCAGAGCCTGCCTGCTGGGTCCCTGACTGTCCACAGCTTTCCCCAGCGAGAAGGTGCTGACCGGTACCCCGGCTCCCTGGCAGAAAGTTTTAGGGAATCAGATTCCCGGGAATCAGACCCTGGGCCTTGTCCCAGGCCCTCCATCATCTGGGAACAAGGATTGCCCTCCCTCCTAGAGGTGGGAGACCGGGGAACAGGAAGGCAGAGCCCCTGCCTGAGACCTGCAGGCGCCCCCTCCCAGGACCCAGTCCTCCCGGTTCAGGAGGCCCCTCTGCTGCTCCCCTCCTCACTTCTGCCTCAGGGTGCCCAGGTCGTGTGCCAGGTTGTCCCTCTCCACCTCGAGCCGGGCGCTGTTGGCGGTGAGTTGATCGAGTCGCAGGCGCAGCTCGCGCAGCTCCGCCTGGTAGACGTCGGCCAGCTTGGTGGGCTCCTTGGCTCGCAGCTGGTTGAGCTCGGCAGCCAGCGCCTTGTTCTGCTGCTCCAGGAAGCGCACCTTCTCAATGTAGCTGGCAAAGCGGTCATTGAGCTCCATCATCTCTGCCCTCTCGCTGGCCCGGGTCTCCTTGAAGCCGGAGTTGAGTGCCCCGGCCAGGGAGAAGTCCACCCGGGCCGGGAGTGGAGGCGGCATTCGAGCCAGGGACAGGCGGGTGCCGGGACCCAGGCGACGGCCCCCCACCACCATCTCCGAGGAGGAGACGTAGGAGCGGCGAGCAGCTGAGGTGACCCGTCTCCTCTCCATCCTGGCCTGGCTCTGCCCGCTCCTGAGATGCGCGGGCTTTAAGGAGGAGGGATCGGCCTGGCACAGCCCAGGCTGCCCCTGGCAACGCCCCCTGGCATAGCCTGAGGGGGTGGTGCTGGGCCACAGCCCAGCCACGGGGAGAGCGCCTCTCACCCCACGGAGGCCACTGTGCCCCAAGGCAGGGCCACCAGAGCGTGCCAGCCCCGGTCTGGCTCCAGACAGAGCTGCTAGTGGGCAGTTCCTGGGGCTGCTGCTGTGTCTGAAACCCTGACCACTGAGCAAGCAGACCCTTTCTCTGGGATGGTGGGTCAGGGAAGGGCTGGACCAGATGACCCCTGACCTGTCTTCTAACTCTTAGATCCCATGACCCAGGCCCTCCCTCAGCGTTCTCCTTCCAGTGCCTGGTAGACACTGGGAACTTGATGAAGAATAAACCTGTTCCCTACTCTCAAGAAACAGCCTGTGTTAGATTTCCTGACAGCCTCAGTCCCAGCAGATTCCTGCCATCCTCCCCTCTTGAGTGCAGGCGTCCACATTCTTGCTGTCTCCCCATCCCCTGGAGTTGCGGGGCTGTGGGCTGGAATTAGAACCAGCCCTTTGTCTGGAGGGTCAATCAAGGGCTCTATCTAGCAGTGGGGGGATGATGGAAGGAATGTGGGCTCCTGACAGGGTCAGAGGGGGCAGGTGCTGCACTCCCAGGCCCTCCCCCCGCCCCTGGGGCCATCCTGAAGCTCAGGGTTCAGCCTCACTGGGCCCACCCCAGCCTTTCTGCACCCCCTCCTGGAGCCCAGGCCTTGACAGCTCCACAAAGCACTTATGAATGAGCTAGCTGTCCCAACTCCCATCTTTGTCCCTGTAACATCCCATTTCCCCTGGCCCCCCCTCACCTCACTCTCACAGTGGAGATTTATCTCCTTCAAGTTCCCACACATCAGGCTGAAAGGCTGGGAAAGGCTTCTGGGGATGAGTGGGTTTGGGAACTGAGGAGCCAGTGGTTCTGAACTGGGAGCCTGGGCCCAGTGCCCTGTGGCCCCTTGAGATTTCAGATCCATCCACCCCTTCTATCTGGTTGCCTGGGGGTCCACCCAGGCCCTTGGCCCATCTGTGCCCCTGGACTTCTGGGAAGCGGGCAGCCTTCCTCTCCTGCACCACCCCCGCTTGCTGCCCACTGCCCATGCCAGGGCCTCCGATCCCTTTTCCCGGGCGCTCGCTGAATGGACTCTTGTTCTCCACCACTGGTGAGGGCGTCGCTCAGCGAGGGCAGCCCCTGCGGGGGGCTGTGCTGTTTTCATCCCAAGATGCCAGCCCATTGGGCAGGGCGCAGCCCAAGCCCCTTGCTCAAAGAGCTTCTCGGAAAGCATCTGAGGGGAGCTGGGGTGCCACAGGGAGCAGGCTCTGTGCCCACCCCAGCCATTGTGTCTGTGCCAAGGTGAGTCATTCAGTGGGCACAAGGAGAGGCCCTGGGGGGTGGCCCAGTAGTGCCAGGGCTCCAGCACTGCAGACAAGGCCTGACTGCTAGTCCCCTCCCCTGCTCTCAGAGCCAGCTCAGCCCGAGCCCCTGTCCCAGCAATACCCCTTCCTCCACACCAGGGGAGATGCTCTTCATTTGCGCATGTTTTACGGGCTGCTTGACGAGATTTCCCTGTTAGTCCCAGGCAGAGAGAGGAGATGAGCACCACTCCTAATTTTTTTTGGGGGGATACTGTGCCTTGCAGCATGTGCCATCTTAGTTCCCCGACCAGGGATCGAACCAGCATCCCCTGCATTGGAAGTGCAGTCTTAATCACTGGACCACCAGGGACTGCCCAATTCTTTAGCAGAGTCTGATGCTGGGCCTGAGTAGTATCATGGGGAGGGGAATCATGAGAAGGGGGCACCCAGTGCCTTGATCATGTTGTGGTTTGGGGAGCTGAGGAAGGATGGGGGTAGAGAGTGACCTTAAAGGAAGAACAAGACTGGGGACAAACCCTTGTCCCGACTCCTCTCTGTGGCTTGGAGTGGCTGTGCTTCCAGCTTGCCAGGCAAGTCACAGTGTGGCCTTCTCTCTTTGTTCAAATGAAATCTAGTTGAAATGAGTGTGAAGCAGTCCTGGAGGAAAAAGCTGTAATAGAGCAGAAAGGGCTTGTCAGGAACGCTCAGTAAACTGTTTTTGTGAAACACAGGCTTGTTTCAGCAGCAGCAGGTGAGGCCCCCCTCTTCACCCGCCTCAGCCACCTCACTGGGTCCCCATCACCTGCCTGCATCCTCTCCCTCTGTCTTCAACCCCTATCTCTCCTTCAAATCCATCCCTACACTCAGCCCTTATCTATCTGATGTTCACACACAGAAGCAAAGAGGTGGTGGACAGATTTGGCCATGGTCGTTTGTCAAAACTTCATTACTTTTTATTTACATGCATTGTAGAAAAGTCAGAAAATACAGATAAGCAGAACAAAAAAATTAATTAGCCATCATTTTGCCACCTGGAGATATAAACAGATTTTTTTTCCCTACATGTATAAATTCATTTTTAAAAAGTGGGCTCATGCTATACAAATTATTTTGTAATTTGCTTTTTTTTACTTGATAATATGTTGTGAACATCTTTTCATATCCATAAATATTTATCTCCATCATTTTAACAGTTGCATGGTTTTCTACCATGTGCATGAATATGCGTGACTGCTAAGTTGCTTTAGCCGTGTCCGACTCTTTGTGACCTTATAGACTATAGCCTGCCAGGCTCCTCAGTCCATAGGATTCTCCAGGCAAGAATACTGAAGTGGGTAGCCATTCCCGTCTCCAGGGGATCTCCCCAAGCCAGGGATCAAACCCAGGTCTGTCTCCTGAATTGCAGGCAGATTCTCCACTGTCTGAGCCACCGGGGAAGCCCATGCATGGCTGTAACCAGGCCCTATCATTGCACAGTTCTGTCCCCTCTCTCTCTTTGTTCTAGATTACACTGTGATGCACATTTGCTCCAGGTAGACATAGCTCCCAGCCTCTACCTCTACTTGCCTCCTCCCAGTCTGGCTGAAGCCCCATTCTCCACGGCACCTCCTCTCCTGCATCCCTAATCTGAAGCCGCGTCATCCAAAGCCTCAGACCAGTCCCTGGATGGCCTTCTGGACTGGACAGCAGAACGCTGCTGGCTCTGGGAAGAGGACGCCTGGACACCCCTCCCCACAGCTTTCAGCCAAATCAGGTCCTATTTCAAGCTGAGTTGGGGACAATTCAAGCTGAGTTGGGGACAAGATGACCTCCCACTCACTATGCCCATCCTCTACATCAGAATCTTCCAGGATGACCTCCTGTCTACAGCCCAAGTACCTTCCGGGACAGATCAGCCCTCCCCCTGGCCTCCACCCACACAGAAGGTGCCCAGAGGGTTCCAAATTTGCCAGCCTCCAATTCAAGGGGCACTTTTGTCCCTCGACTGCTGCCCACTAACTACCTGCTGCTCTTCCAGTGCCTGACACAGCATGGTGGTTGGCAAACGTGAGTGGGATGGAGGGAACGTGAGTCTCTGGCCAACCCCTTGCCAGAGTCCATCCGCTCTGTGACCCATCCCTGAGGAAGGGAACTGAGTGACCAGTAGATGGCAGTGCTGAGCTGCCCAGATCTGCGCGGCCTGGTGGCCGTAGCTCTTTGGAGGCAGGAAGAAAGCTGGTCTCTGGCTTTCTAAAACCCAAAAGTGCATCACCCAGAGGGGTCACTAGAATTGCCTCTGACTGCTATGGCAGCGCCCTCTAGGGGAGAGAGCAAGGCCACTCATTAGCTGTATGATTGTGGATGACTCAGGAACCTTCTCTGAGTCTCCATTATCCACATCTGTATAATGAGGTCTAGACAAACTTACTTCCAAGGTAGTTGTAAGAAAAACTATCAGTGAAAGCTGGACACAGCAGGTGCTCGACAAATCCTAGCTTCCGTTTAATAACACCTACCGGGGCTTCCCGGGTGGCGCTAGTGGTAAAGAACTCACCTGCCAATGCAGGAGGTACCTGAGACATGAGTTCAATCCCTGGGTTGGGAAGATCCCCTGGAGGAGGAAAAGGCAACCCACTCCAGTAGTCTTGCCTGGAGAATCCCATGGACAGAGGAGCCCGGCAGGCTACAGTCCATGGGGTCGCAAAGAGTCAGACACGACTGAGTGACTCAGCACACATACACCAGGTGCTTTACCTGTTTCCGTGTCAGCACATCTCTGATGGGGCGGGCCTGGACGGGTGGGAGCTGGGTCTTCTAGGGGAGCTGCCACGTCCTGTCGACCCCACTGGGGTTGGGGCAGGGACAGCATGTGGGCAGGGGCACCCCACAAAGGGCCGTGTGGACAGGATGTGGGAGGAGGGGGCGGTCAGTGAAGAGAAGGTGGGAGTCAGCACTCTTCACCCCCAGACCACTAGTTGTTTATAGCTTTGGGTCTCCCAGGGAACATGTGAGAGTTAGGTCCCACTGTCCTAGCGGAGACTGAATAGAGGCTGTTTCCCACCCTGCTTCCTCATCTCCCGGACTCCCCCAGTGGGCTCTATCCTTCCATCTTTGCCCTTTCCCAGCCCTTGTGGACTTGAGACCCACAGTTCCATTGGCTTGAGAACCTCTTGGTGTGTCAACATCTCCCACGGGGATGGGTCTCTTCTACACTTGAACCTGAGGCTTCCCAAGGACAAGGCCCCCAGTAGATGGGGTCTTCCTAGTGCTAGATCTATGTCTTCATCAGACTGGGATGCATCTAAGGGTAGGGTCTGTCTCCTACTTCAGACTCGGGCAACCACAGACAGAAGCTGCCTTTCTCCTTGGGTGGGAGCTATCTGATCAGAGGATCCATGGTTCACTGTCAGCTGGGAGCTTCTGAGGGAAGGCGATGTCCTTCTGTTGGAGGACAGCTGCCTTGGGCCAGGGACAGCTCCTTCTCCCATCCTGAGCCTGTGCCCAGCCTGGCCCTGCGGGTTAGAAGCATCCAGCTCCTGTGGCTGCAGAAGGGTTCTCGGCTGAACACCTAGACTCCTTCCCCTTCTCTG